CCGAAAGCGCTGTGGCAACTCAAATTTCCTGGGCATAATGAAGTCTGCCTCTTGTGACCTGTCTGAGCCTCTCGAGAACAATAGAAATTCCACAAATACAACTTCCCGTGGCCAAGCTGGACGCTCGCATGACACCAACTGCTTATACAGGAAACCTACTCGGATCTACCCTGAGTCTAGCGCCACCCTGCAGAAAGTGCGGTTTACCCTGCGTGCCGCCTCATGACGAAGAGGACAACCAAACCCCATGATAACATTCAACGTCTGTTTATATGATCTTCCTTCAAAGGTATTTTGACCATCGCCCACATTGACATGCCCATAAGGGCACGCATCCCTAGATCCCAAACTCCTTCATTCTCCCGTCGTCTATGCCAAACGAGTCACACTTGCATCAAAACCTGTGCGCGAAAATATGTTTGAAGCGCAACAGCACAGTCTAGGGGCTAATTTGCCCAACTGTGACAGTGCTTGGGGATTGCTCAAGGCGAAGCCAGAATGAAAAGCCTGCCACTGAGGCCGCTGGCAGTGCTTTTGACCGCGGTAGCGCCGGCGTGGGAAAGCCTCTTCCTGCAGGGGGCTTATTTGCACCAGCCTACCACACAAGTTTTCGCGCCGAACACGCTGGTGTTAGCCTCCACGGCAGATTTTCACAGTTCTATGTTAAACCAACAGTAGGGATGTTCTTGCAGCTGCTAGCCTCTCAGCCTTTGGATGTTGTATCTGCCAGCCTCGTCTCCGGAACTACTCCCCGCTCTCGAAGATGAGCACAAGGTTGGGCAGAGCTTGGCTGGAGGGAAGGCAAACCTTGTGAAATGACAAGAGGTGAATGCCGAAGGTTGACCCGGTTTCCAGTCTGCAAGCTCGCATAAGAAGCTTACCTGGACTGGTAAAAACACGACTTGCAAGGTGGTCTCAGCTCTACTGTCGCCACTAAACGGTTGGCTTCAAGTCTGCATTTCCATCCCTAGCCGAAGCCTTCGAACTCTGCCAGGCTACGAATCAAACTCGCGACGCTCGTACTCCTGCCAGAAGTCATCCTCATCCTGCAAAAGCGACACACGTGCAGAAGCTTGCAGGGAAACAGTCGCCTTGTCGTGGCTTGCTTGTTGCAGGTACGTAGCCCAGCACGAGAGCTTAAGAACCCCTTGACTTCGCGCAGGTCAGCCTTGCTCGGCTTTGGGGACCGGCATGCCCAAATTGATGATAGTAGTTCTTGGAACGCACATTCTGACCCTGGTACGGAAGTTTCCAGAGACTGGCGGTGGAACAAATGTACTTATCATCACCCTACATGGGCAGAATCCCTCTATGAAGCTCCTTAAAAACACTCCCAAGCTTTGGAGACGCCAAACCCCCACGCGGCCATACACCCAAGTTTCGTAGCTCCTCTGATGATGCAGCATCAGATGATTCTGCCGCGGAGGATGCACTGCGCACGTGACAGCAGCAACAGCAGCACCACCGTCGCCTGTTACGGCAACGAGATGCTGCTTCACACCATGACAACTATCCAGTAAATTGTAATCGCGCCGTTGTGATGATTACGTAGTCTTAGTGGTGACGCTTGTAGATGCTTAATGTGAGTATATACGGCATGCCGTGGGCAGCAGGAAATTGCCAGCCTCCTACATACCTTCAGCAAGAGGTACAGGTTTTTACACGTCAAAATCTGCGAAAATTTTGTGCGAACAGCTTGACGCCACCACGAATGGCATAGTACCTTGATCCCACGAACAAGTTTAGGAAGCAGAGGGTTTGAGCAGTGGCGGGGAAGGTGTTGGCATCCAGGTGTGTGTGTGTATGGATATGTACTGATGAACGCAGGTCGTACTTAGGACATTTCAACCTGACAGCGGCCTGCGCGACATTTGGTGCTCACATGGCGGCAGCTATAATGTTAGTGTTGTCTGCAATTGCACGCTGCATTGCACTGCATGACCGTGAACGCAATCATCATGATAATCCTGCTGCTGCTCTCAGTACTACCTGACACTACTTCAACATGCATTCACGCGGATCCTTGCATACATGGCTCACCACGATGAACTGAACTCAGACTCCAGCATAGAGGGCACAGTTACAAAACTAAACATGTTGCTAAGTCTTCTCCCAGCTGTGTGTTGAAAAGGGGCGTGCGGGCCGCTGTCCTTACGCCGCCTGTCATGCGCTAACTGGATCTATCAGAACTCATCAAGTAGCCAAGATGAGATGAATGGCGAGTTCCCTGGGACATGCTGACTATACAATGCCCTGCCTGATGCGGGCCTCCAGGAGGCAGTGGAGCAAAAACGTTTGTGGCAGGCGGCAGGCATGAGATGATTTCCGCACGCATGCAACACAGAATGTAGTAGTCCCATGCAGACACTGTGCGCCACTATGCGCCAATATTCCGCAAAGATGGAGCAGGTGCGCTACTCGCACGGGTCACTCGTCAGCAGCTGCAAGCTAGGAAGTGGACAAGAGGAATCACCATCCACTTGTAGTCAACGACGTACATGCCGAAGATAAGAATCCTTCAGCAGAATGTGGGCCGGATGATCCAAATTGGATTTCGAATGCAATGAGACATTCTTTTTCAAGCGAAGCTGACGATTTCTCAACTTAGGGCTACCCAGGTTGCTTAGTCGCCTAATCCAGGCTGCTGGGATTCCAGCCACGCCGAGCTCAACAGCATGGCCCACGTGAACAAGAAGTTTGGACCTGAGGATGGGATCTGAGCGTTACTTGGGAACTCCCGAGGGATGTGGAGGCTTTGGGTCCATTGCGGTGACAAAAACTACATGGGGTTTTGAGCAGACCTTCTGAGCCACAGACTAACTCGACATCGCGGATCGATGGTCAAGATGAAACTTAGAAGCGAACGGCAGCAATCAGCAACTCTCGTGCGGAAGGCATCGTGGCTTGCAAAGAACGATCAAGAGACTGAGCAATGGCTGAAGCTCAGCTCATGACAAGTGATTCACGAAGTTGTCTTCACCTCCGCAGATCTCAGATTCAACCTACGAGTACTATCAAACGCGAAGAGCTGCACCGCGCAGGACCCATGTGCAGACCACTCAACACAAAGCGGGTCCCAAGTGCGCTGCTGCGCTGCCGGGAGCCGGACAAACGCGTGCCACGGTAGCCATGCCAATGATGACCAGAACTACACTGAGGCAAACTCGAAACCTGGCAATGTTTTGCTTGCTGAAGGCCCTTTGCTTTGTTGGGAACACTTCCCGTCGTAAAACGTGCTGGAAGTACACAGGAAAGCTACAGAGGAAATAATTCCTCGAGAAGGTGGCAGGGTCCTTGGCCCCAAGTCCACAGAGAGTAAGCGCAGCTTGTCCGCGCCAAAGTGGAGTCCATCCCTCATACTCAAGCAGCGGACGTAAGGGAGGGAGATGAGACTCTGAACTCTGAGCTTCAATTGACACTCAAGGACCACACTGTCATGCCATACAAGTTCATCCGTACAGGCCGAATCCCAAAACCTCCGACTCCTGTGAAAGCTGACTCGGGCTCCACGCCTTTGCAGGAAGTGCCATCAGCACAATTATGGACAAGACCAGGGCAAAGGACAACCTCAGAGCAGCTCTCTGAGGTGCTCTGTGGGGGGGGGCAGGGGGGGCTTGGAGTCCGTTTAGAAGGGTTAAATTGGGATTATATTGGGGTTATATTGGGATAATGGAAAAGAAAATGGAAACTACTATTTAGGGTTTTTAGTCATCCTTAAAAGTGATCCCTTCATCGCACCTTCAAGAGCGGATCTCTATTGACTATTGCTACGAGTAGAAGCCCAAGACATCAGAGGCATGCCAGCAAGCTGGTTGGATCCAAACCTTGCCCCATCGACTGTGCAGAATGCTCAGAGCAACTACACAACCGAAGGAGTAGGGAAAGGAGGCTGTGGGTCCACACATAGTCAGGGCACGGCAACGAGCTACTGTAGATCAGAACCTGACCAGCATTGCTGAGAGCTCGCTTAATCTGTATGTCCATACGAAGGTAAACACCCAAACACAAGCCCACTGCACCCCTGCAATATCTTGAGCGTCAAATCTTTATGGAGCATCCACCAAACAAAGACAGGATCAAATGAACGCGAACCGCACAACAAAAAGACACAATCTGAATAACACGAATCGCATTGTTAAAATCAGGTACTGCCTTGTATGTCTTTAATAAGAAGGCTACAACAATAACAGTTGCCTTCATGACCGGCTGGGTGGATGACCCTTCTACGCAGGACCCAAGGCAGGGGCCCAAGAAAGAAGAAGAGGAGCCGCTCAGCTCGTAAGGCAGGGCCCTGGTCGTCATGGTAAGCTTGGGAGTTTCTCAACCGGTGGCTAATGTAAGAAATGCCATGGATATTTGAGGGGTTCTAAGGGGACTGAGCGTCCCACATGCTCCTCTTTGGTGGGTGCTGCACTATACCAGACAAATCTGACCACTGCAAGCTACGATGCGAGTGGCTGGTCATCAGTTTTGCTGCTGCACTGCAATGCCATGCAGGATTTGCTGCAGTTGCTGCTGCAACCAATAACAAACTGAAACCAACATGAGAACGACCGTATTCGTGGAACCACCCTTTCAGGACCCCATACTCCAACTTCCAGCCCGAAAATGAAATCCCCAGCTCCAAAATCGCAGCCTGGAGCCCCGCCCCAGTCGCGGAACGTTTCCCGAGGCCTGAGTCCGTCAGCGCACAGACTGGCTTGCTGTTAAGGACCTCCAGTTCAGCTGACAACAGGATGATGCAGAGATTGGAAGGGATAGTGATAATTATCGAATGGAAAACCTACACACGCAAGACGTCGGAGTTTGGCTACGGTACTGGTCTTCAAATGGCCCCAACCTATAAATGCTGGCGTTGCATTGAGAACCAAAAACATGGGGAACCGTACATTAATCCCTTCCCCCTAATTAATATTAAACGACGTCCCTCCCCCCCTAATATTAAATAATCCCGATCCCGAAAAAATTATTTAGTATTAGGGGGTGATATATATCGAAAGGATTAGATAGGGCTGGCTTTAAAACCCTTCTGAATTCGATGTAATATGAATATTAATTTACAAAAATTGAATTAGTTAATTACATCTCTCTTGAAATCAAATTAAAATACCTAGAAAATCAATTGAAATCTAATTAAATTCCTTTAAAACCAAATGAATTCGAATTTAAATCCCGTTAGAATCAATTGAAAACGAATTGAAATTCCTTTGAAAAACAGCTGAAATTCAATTAAAATTCCTTTCAAAATCAATTGAAATCGAATTAAGATTCCTTTTGAAACAAATTGAAACTTAATTAAGATTCCTTTCAAATCAATTGAAATCGAATTAAAATGCCGATAAAATCAATTGAAAAATGAATAAGATTGCTCGTAAAATCAATTGAAATCGAATGAAACTCAATTGAGATTCAATTAAATTCGGCTAAAGTTACAATAAAATCACATAAAATCGCCTTCAGTTCTTGTATGTAAAATCCTTTATTACAACCATATGAAAAACAATCAAAACCTAGGAAATGAAGGGGATCTCCCTAATTCCTTTGTATTTCTTCTTATGCCCCCTAATGACCTCAGAACCCACCCTAATTCATTATTAGGTGGCCCATTTTCAAAGTAGTCTTCCCCTTTTGAAAGTAGTCTTCTGGATTTTTAGGCCTCCAAATTTATTATTCAATATTGGGAGATTTTAATATCAGGGGGATGGGAATACCAACTTCAGAATTGCTGGTTGAAACTTGCAACAACAATTTTTATCAAGGGTTATCACAGGGAGATTATCCTCATCATCGCCATCCCCATGATTGCACTCATTGAGTTATTATACCTAGTACTCTTCCCTCAAGGAAACAGTCGACAGAGCCGGCTGACGCTACGACGTGGGGTTTGAATCCTGCAGTCTGGGATCCAAACCAGCTGCCAAAAGAGCCACCTGCCATCATGACTAGCAAGCTCTGTGGGGTGTCTGATGTTTGCCGCTTGTGTCTTCCTCTAATCAACGAGAGGCCTTCAAGGGAAACCAACCAACTGTACTCAGGAAGGTGCTGCACATCTGCGCCATCACTGCGCGCCATAAGAAATCCCCACTTCTGGTAATGCTCTGTCAGCAGATGTCGGGTATCAGTCGGGCATTGCAAAGCAAGTTGGCCCGGAAGCGTTCGCAAGCTGAAAAAATAATCGGTGTCTTTGCACCCTTGGCTTCTTGCCTAGACGGTTGCTGGGCAAATTATCTGTTTCCACAGCAGCAAGAGATCTCACAGGCTGTTGCATAATTTGCCTCACTGCTTTACATGCAAACAACCTGTGACCTATCCGGTGGATGAGCACTTAAAAAGTGGGGCAGCGGTCACACTGCCAAATCACATGCTCCACGTCTCGTCTGCGACGGGATGCTTTGGATGTCCCTATTTCGTCAGCTGGACATCAGGCCTGCTGCTTCGCCTTAGGGTCAGTGAGGTGCTCGTAAAGTGGAACCGTCATGTAGGGTCAAGGGCACTATCGCCAAATTCATTGACTAGCGGTTGCAAAGTCATTGCGCGCTGTTGGTTGCACGACCTTCTTCTGGCCTTGACATCCCTGTATAGAGAGGACTCGCAACTACTTCAATAACATGGCCCAATTCCCTACAAATTTCATCGGTTGCAACGTTTACGTTCAGAATGTGCTTGTGTCAGTGCGATCGCGACTATGGCGGAATGGCGATTGGCGTCGAATGAAGCCAGACAGGCCTACTTATTGGAGTATCCGACATTCGCTGGTATCACCATGGCCAGTTGAAATTCTCGATCAGCATGCCCGATTTTGCGAAATACCCGGCTACCCATGATGCACTGGGTTCTCGGCCTCTGCTTCCTTCTTCAGGGCCCTGACCAGATGCCAGGAAAAGGGCAGAATCTTGTGCGATCAACATGGTGAGATGTCGTGACAGGAGAGAAGGTTCCCCTTGCAAACTGGGCAAAACCAACACCTGCAGAACAAGTGCCATGTCCAACTCCGCTTCTGTGCGAAACCTGTATCGCAAACAAGGTCAGGATGAGTGGTCCACACTTGTCTCATGCTTCCACAGGCCATGGCTTCACTTAATTATTGCTCTGCTCATGCAGTGTACAACATCCCCCAACTTCTCGACAAATCCTCTTGCGCGACGTGGAGAAGGCGATCCTATCTTCTGCCAAGCTTTAAGCTAGCAAGATACGCAAGTTGTTGTCCGGTTTGCCAAAGTCTTTGGTTGATTTAGATTTTCTAGCTTCTAGAATATTAGCATGAAGGCGAAGCCAGTCCCAATTGCCTGAAGACCTCGTCCTGCCCGGCTTTGATGGCCCCGGTGATAAAGGTCCTGCCGCAGGCCCATTGAAAGGACAGACATACAACAAGGAGCTGACAGTTCTGATGGATCTGAGAAGTGGCTGAGATTGTCCAGGCACATGGAGTTTCTTCCGGGGATTGGCTCAGATGCAAGGCCCTTCCTATATGAAAGCGTGCCATAATTTGAAGGTCTTGAAATTCGAGGCCAGAAATTCAGAATAGTTTTGGGTTCAGGGCCCATGAGAACCCCAGCCCTTGCACGTAGAGATTTAGACAAGAGTCCTTAAGACCGCAGAACTGGAGCATGTTAAAATCACGTGTTATGAGTGTGCATGTACCATTAAGTCTTGGGCTGCACATATCATTTTCTTGGGCAGCTCACCCCAGCTATGACCATGCCAGCCTCAGAACGGCTTCAGTCACAGAGTCGGGTACCGGGAACCATATAGGCCTCGCAAAAGAGAAAAAGGGAAATTCCTAGCTGGGCAAGGGCGGAAGCTGTTGCTCAGCCCTGCGTAAAAAGCACTGCAAAGCCCTGTACTTGTTTAGTCCTTTCCTAAGGCAGGTGGTTCTCTGAACTCCCTGGCTGTGATAATGGGAGTACAGGGCTGGGGTGAGAGCGCTGGATGGGATTGACTAAGGAAGTCGTGGAGAGTTGACAGGACGGAGAGCACTTGCAGCTTCGTACTATGTTGTTGATGCCATCTCTGCACAGATCGAGAGAGAGATCTCCCACTGTCATACGATTCTTGTACAGTATTCAGTATACTAGTTTTAAGCTGCTTCGCTTTTCATTGGCATTGTAGCTATGACTGTGCAGCTCCTTCGATTGGGACGCTCCATCTTGAGGCACTGCAGGCCATTGGGTGATTTCAAGACCAACGCAGTATCATGGCAAAGCAGGAAACCTCAATGCCACAAGCCCAGAATTCAAGCATGGGCTACATCTGCTTTCTAAGGGGATTGCCGCAATCATCCCGAAGATCCTGGGATCTATCCTCGACAAGCCCATGGGCCCTGCCCGAATCGCAGACACTAAGGTCCCTGCAAGTAATACTTGAAGCGCTGCAGAGCCTGGCAGCCAAGTCATGAAGGCGAACTCCAAGCCAGAACTTCCCGGGGCGCGCCCAACTCCGACATGACATGCGCTGTACAGACAATCATTTGCAAAGCCCCTCGGATCCTGAACATAAAGCACAAGTGAGGCCGAGACTCTGGCAGGTGAGCAGAGGGCCCCATCGAAGTAAAAACCACACAGAAGAAACGTTGGACAGCACTCACGAGAACTCAGAAAGAGGCCCGAAGCACCTGCTGGACAATACGCAGTCCCTTGGAGCGCGGATCATCTTGCCATCGAAGCACGATCTGGCTGCGAATGGCTCTGCTCACATTATCCAGGCATGCAAGGAAATTACTTGTAGGCCGGATGATGGGCCCTGGACGGGTCTAGGATTACTTCTGGTCCTCCCCCCTCACGTGTTTTGCAGAACTCATGATGAGCCCCAGCTCAACATCCCGAACCTGAGCATCCTTAGCTCAACATCTGGCCTCAGCGTTGGCCTCAAGAAGCTTGTCCAAATCCTGCATGCAAGCGACATCATGCAAGTAGCTATTCAGGCCTGGCCGCTCTTTCATAACCTTGCAAACACCCACAATCAGGTGAAAAAAGATCTGCAAGGACTTGTGGCAGGCCTTCTGGTACTCCACACTACCCGTGCTCTTGTTCTTCAGACCTGGGTTGATCTCAAGGACCTGGCAGGGAGACAAGGACAGCTGAAGTTGGGAAGAATCTTTGCCAGACTCCAACTTCAATGCGAGGTGCCATTGGGTGATGCCCGACGACCAACGACTGAGGTTTCAATTTCTACGGCCAACTGGTTCAGAATCCCCACATGGCAGTGCCAGGGTATGCGTGTTCCAGGATGTTGGAGCGGGTCTTATTATCCGCAAATGTCATCGCTGCAGTCGAAGGCTGGTGAGCCTTCAGACTCAGGAATGGTTTTTATTGTAGGAGAATTGTATGTGGTACACCTCCCTGTGAGTAGCCCTCTAGGGTAAGCCAAAGTTTATCGAACCCACGAAAGGTTCGCCGAAGGTAGCCGAACCCCAGAGGGTTCACCGAACCCACAAACAGGGTTCTGCGAACGGGTTCTACGAACTCCCCGAAAAATTCTACAGACCCTGCGAAGGTTCCGCGAACCCCCGGCAACGTTCTGCGAATGCTAATGGTAGGGCTCTAAGGTCAACCCCACTGTGATGTGTACATATATGTTTTGACGTGATTTATTCTGCAACAGCCCGAAGCCATTTGGAAGCCCTGAGATGATGTCCTGATGGACCTGGCCCGGCCTGCACTTCAGCTCTCTGTGGATTATCCAGATTGATCCTGCAGGTCATGCGCACCTGGGAACAGCGTGGGAAGGGGCAATTCACCTAACCTGCAGTGCTCCTTCTGCTAAGTTGGGTTTTCTTGCCAAAAACACTATCCTTGACAGGACTGAAATCAAGCTTGAGGCGCCTGGGAGCTGTAGGGCCCGATGTCCAAAGAGGGAAAGTACAGATAGATCAGCCCTTCTTCGGGTGCGGGCTCGGTCCGCTCCACGCCATTGAAAAGGATTTCCGCAGCCCTCTCCTGCAACAACTGCTATGTGGAAGAAGAATGAGAATAGGCTCAGGGTCGAACAAGCATTTCGAATCCAAGATGTCTGATTCCAAGCAGCTTTTTTCTGCACAACTATTAAATGAGGCACTCCTGCAGCAGCTTCTCCATCCATTGAGCGTCGCAGTCCGCCAGCTCTTGCCTTGCGGAGTTCTCCACCACGACGCTGACAGCACGAGCGGCACGGGCAATGCTCGTCGTGGTCTGCCGGCTTTGTCGCACTGGCTTCAGCGGCTTCCTCGCCCGGACCACACATCCGGCCAAAGTGACGCAGGCGGGGAGCAGCAGCTGCGAAGGCAATTGCCTCGGCCACCCAATGGCAGTGGCACAAGTGCGGGGCGCGCTCTGCGCCAGTGGCGGTCTGGATGGTCTGGACGTCAAGGAGGCTTCCATGGGCACAGATAAGAGTTGGGCCATTTGTGCTACACTAAAGCATCTAATGCTGCTTTGCCTGCCAGCCTTCATTTGACTTGCTTGGCGCTGCACAGCATAGCGAGGACACTCTTCTTGGATGTTGATTGTCGCCAGTCTGGTAATTGGCTGCTTTGCATCAAAACCTCTGGCCTGTTGCTTGTGGAAGCCAGGTGCTTGCCATTGCTGGCCAAGTTTTGCTTGAGAGCCGCCCAGCGACATGCACTCTTGAATTTCCGGAAGCAGCAAATTCCTGCTCCCCCAAGGTTCACTCACAGCTTGCTCCGTTGTGCAACTGGAGAGGGGCAGCTTCTGAACAATATAGGATGTTTAACAAGAACATGCTCTAGTCTAGTCAGGGCCTAAGAAAACTGCCAAGCAGCTTCCTGCACAATACCTAGAATCCAGAGTGCCTGTTGCCCTGCCTTCTTTCCTGATATGTCCTGATTATACAACGCGTTGACAAAGAACCTGGCTACCGGGTGGCTGCCTCCGGGGATATCCCTGGCTCCGCAGATGCGGACCGACGTTGGAACGCCTGCGAACTGCAATGGGAATGGCTTTCGGTTACGCATTGCGCTGCAGCTTCACGGTCTGGGGAAGGCGGGACAGTCGCGATTGTTTGGGATGCACCAAGAAGCAACGGAGGCTGCCAAATCAAAGTATTAGGAGTCGTCTGGCCAAGCAGATTACAGTCTTCGTGTTTTGCATCGTCAGCGCTACAGTATCACTACGTGAACTGCCCAGAAAGTGATGGAAAGTGGATGACACAATGAAGATGGGCTTGGGGCGGATCGCCTGACTACTCAGCAGAGTGCACATCTAGACCTGTGGGTTCTCCGAATGCTGCATGACTTGACTTGCGGGGATGCGCTTGGACCTCAAGCAGAATCTCAGGCTATTCATAGGTTAGAATAATAATAATAATAACAATAGTAATAACAATAGTAATAATAGTATTAATAATAGTAATGTTGGGCCCTCTTTAATGATGGGGGCCCCCCCCCTAACATTAGGGCCCTCCGAAAAATAGAAATTAGGGATCCTAAATAGTGGCCCCCCTGAGCTCCCACGGTTCTGAGGTCCTTGTAGATTAATTTAAAAGGGATTGTTGAGAATCCTTCCTA